AGGGGAGGCCCAAAGGGGGCAGCTTGGAGAGGCCCGAGGAGGTGCTTCCCAGGCCCCGCTCCTTCCCTCCCGAGGGCGGGGCGGCCGTCTCTCTGACCTCCTTTCCCTCCCGCAGCTGAACTCCTTCGAGCAGCTCTGCATCAACTACACCAACGAGAAGCTGCAGCAGCTCTTCAACCACACGATGTTCATCCTGGAGCAGGAGGAGTACCAGCGCGAGGGCATCGAGTGGAACTTCATCGACTTTGGCCTGGACCTGCAGCCCTGCATCGACCTCATTGAAAAGCCAGTAAGAGCCGGACCTGCGGGGCCTCATCCGGGCCTCACCCTCTGCCCCTCTGAGGTTGAAATTACCCATAACCCTAATATGAAACAATTTCCTTCTGTGATGAGTGTTTTTTAATCAGTTGCGTTTTCCAAAGATCATCCAGGCTGGGCAGCCAGTCCCTGCAGGCCCCAGTGTCTTCAGACAGTGTCTGAGTCGGCTCTCTTGTTTTATAAATTCGGTGTACAGAAGGCTGTGGGGTTTGGGGCACCTCTTCCTTGAGAGGCTTGTCCTGAATGTCACGTGTCACCACATATCCAGGCGGACACAGCGTGTGGGACGGGGTCCAGAGGGGCTCCAGGGGCCGGGGCACCTGTTAAGGGCAGCCTTCTGGGATGTGGGTCAGGGGTCTGCAAGGCCCATCAAGCCCACCAGTTGGTCTCCAGTGCACTAATTGGAGAACCCTGTGATGGATCATTGGGTTAAGGTGTGTGGGTCATAGCCTAGACCCCAGAACTTTCTTTTTAAACTAGAATTGAATACTTTCAATAATGTTCCTTACTTCCCCTCACTGTGTGGGCAGCACCTCCCACCTTCTGGAGAGATTCTGGGTTTTCTGAAAACCAGGCTTTGGCCTCTTACAAGGGCAAAAATGGGTGGTTCCCACAGCGAGCTCACCCTTGTGATGCTGTGCTTCCTCCAGGCAGGCCCCCCTGGCATCCTGGCCCTGCTGGACGAGGAGTGCTGGTTCCCCAAAGCTACTGACAAGAGCTTTGTGGAGAAGGTGATGCAGGAGCAGGGTACCCA